ACCTTTTTCCAAAAAGGATATTAGTCTATTTGAACACAAAATGCTTACTCCTAGTGAATTGCCAAAATTTTAAATGGAATGTTTCCTGCTTATATTTGTCAAACCCCCACAGTCAGGACAGATGAGGTATTGAGATTGAAGGCAGTTTATCTGTGAAGCCTGGTCTCTAGCTGTTATATGATCTCAAAATCAATCTTAAGGTAGTACAGGCAGTTTGACAGGATAGCTGTAATGAACAGAGAGCACTCTTGTTTTCAGAAATAAGACAAGATTAAGGAGCAATACTACTTGAAAATCTCGGAGTAGCGTATTCAGTAGATCTTGAAATTCTGTATTTAGTTTTGCTGGTGCTGTGAGAGAATTTCCACCCAACAAGTCATGGCAGTTTGAGATTAACTTGGAGAGCTCAGGATTTATGGTTTAAAATTGGACCTGGCTAGCATTACCTAACATGCTATTTCCCTCTAAAGTACTTTTGAAAAGTGACAAAACTTCACAAAAACAGAAAAATAGAACTGGAGTCTCCCTTTGGCAAGAATCTAGAAAAACTTTTTACTGCCATTATAGGGGCAAGAGACTGTTAGGCCTACTTATTAGCAGCCACCTGGAAATTAGGTAGGAAAACACTTTCAGTACCCTTCTAATGTTGGCGAAACTGTTTCTGGCAATTGAACCTCAGTTCAGCAACCTCGGTACTTGAGTTCTGGCTAAGAAAGAATCCAGAGCCAAGACAAATACAAGGGACAGAGTGGGTTGGGGAGGCAAAGGGAGAGGGAGCACCTGGGGGAAAGAAGGAGGTGGGCAAAGGTGAGGGGTGTTCCAAGGAGACCAAGAGCAGGTGCTGAGCCCCTTGTCTTGAGGACGTTTAGCTGGAGATCCCAAGGGAGGACCTCAACAGAATACTCATCAGCTTCCTGGGTGTGTCTCTGTCCTTTCAGGGTTGTGGTCTCTACTGATTGGTACCTGCCAGGTCTACCACAGGTTAAGGGAGGTCCACACTACAAGACCAGTGATGTGAAAGGTCAGGGGTCTGTGCCCCATGGTCAGCTTTATGCTAGTGAGGGAAAGGTTGCCCTGGGGGTGAGATTCCACCCTACAGTTGTCCATTGCTAGGCACTCTTTGGTGCCTGGCCTATGGTCCTTGCTGTGCTAATGCTTGCTTAACTGCCTACTACACCATTCTCATCTTACTAATATTAAAATAATAAAGCAAGATTTATACTAGTTAGAAAGTTAAAGGTTCAGCAGTAGTGGACTAGTATTCAAACCTAGAGAAAAATCAGTGGTGGCTGCCAGATATGTTGTTTTCAGAGCCTAAAACCCAGTCCCTTAAAGGACCACTTCCCTGTTTAGCTCATGGTGTGACACCTGGTAGTCAAGCCTCATTTTTCTCCATTTTCCAGGAGTTCCTCTAAGCATGTCTTTGTCTCCTTAGAAGAGATGATGGTCAAAGGTACAAACCTTTCAATTACAAAATGAATACATTTTGAGGATCTAATGTATAGCATGGTGACTGTGGTTAACAACACATTATATATCATTTCCTCATTTCCCCCAACACCCCCCAGGTGCTGCCAACCACCATTCTACTCTGTTCCTATGAGTTTGGCTTTTTTTGGTTCCACATATGTGATATCATACATACTTGTCTTTCTCTGACTTATCTCACTTAGCTTAATGCCCTCCAGGTTCATCCATGCCATCACAAATGGCAGGATTTTCTTCTTTATGGCTGAATAATATTTCTGTGTGTGAGTGTGTGTGTGTGTGTGTGTGTGTGTGTGTGTGTTTCATTTTCTGTTGTTTCCATGTCTTGGTTATTGTGAATGATGCTACAGCAAACAAGGGGGTGCAGGTTCTCTTCAAGATCCTGATTTAATTTCCTTTGGATATATACCCAGGAGTAGAATTGCTATTTTAAATTTTTTTGTACTTCTATTTTGAACTTTTTTTGAGGACCCTCCATACTGTTTTCCATAGTAGCCACATGAATTTCTATCAACAGTACACAAGGCTTCCCATTTGTCCACATCCTTGCCAACATTTGCCTCTTATCTTTTTCATAATAGCTAGCTATTCTGACAGACAGAGTGGAAATTTCATTGTGATTTTAATTTGCATTTTTCTGAAGATTAGTAATGTTGAGTTTTCATGTACCTGTTGGCCATTTATAAGTCTTCGGAATATCTGATTTTTCAATAGGTGTCTATGCTCCAGTAAAATATGAGAGAGAAATATCATTCCTTGCACTTTTTTGTTTTTCCACTCTTTGTGTCTTTGTTTAAGCTACAATTTTCTTCTAGAATTTTAGAGTGAGTGTACATCAGCACACAACCCCAGCACACACTACAGTTACCACATGGCAGGTACTATGCCAAGTACTATATACACAGTACTGATTAAAATAGATATGGTCTCTGCCCTTCTGGAAATGACAGGAAAAGTCCCTCTTAAAATTTCTAAGGACATCTCAAATGAAAGTTTACCTGATCCCTCCAGTATGAAAACTCCCTTTAATGAACAACAGTAGACTCTGTTTATATCTCTGGGCCCCACACAACTATAGGTCAAGGCACTGAGGGTATTATTTGGGCTTTTCCCTTGGCCCAAACGTGTATGTATTGGGAGCTCCTTGAAGACTAGTCGTATAGCTTTTTTTTTTTTTTTTTTTTTCACCTTGCACACTTTTTGAATTCTTATGGGAAATAAATGGGTGAATCTCCTGATACAGGAAATAGCATGGTCAAAGAAAAAGAAAATGCTAGTTACATTCAGGTGCAGCAAATAGAAGAACTTGCGTGAAGTGGAGGCAGAAAAAAGTAAGATTAGAGAGTACAGGTTGATCAGGGAGTAGTTAATGATAGGGCATAAAAATAAAGTTAATTAGATTTCAAAATGCCATACTTTTTAAATTTTATTTTTAATTGAGATATAATTCAAATATAACATTAATTTGGGGTATACAACATTTCAGTAATTGTATATATTGCAAAGTAATCACAACAATAAATGTAGTTAGTTAACATCATTACCATACATAGTTTAAAATTTTTTTTCTTATAATGAGAACTTTTAAAATCTACTTTCTTAGGAACTTTCAAGCATGCAATGCAGTACTATTCACTATAATCACCATGCTGTACAATGTATGAAAAATTAAGATTTTGAATAGTAGACTGAGGCCCAAAAAAATCTCCACTCTAAATGCTTTATATGTAGCAAATGGTATGTCATCTCCAAATATGAAAGGTTTTTTGTTTTGTTTTGTATTTGAAGATAAGACATTATAAATAAGTAAAAGATCAGTGACTTATAAGCATCAAATATCTTCCTTCTCTTTTTAATAACAAAACTAAGACATAACGTTCATTGCTCAAACCTTGAATGCAGTTGCCCAAGTTAGCAACCTGAGTGTTATCGTTGATTCCTCAGTTTGTCTCATTTTCCACATCTGGCCAGTCCTGAGTTCTGTTGAATCTGCTTCATAATCTCCCCTCTCTTCCTCCTGCTACACGTTCCCTCTACCAACTTTTACTTTTTTTTTTTAGTGATTATGGTCTCACATAATTGTCCTTATTCCCCCCATTCCCATCCCAAACCCCTCCCTAGATATGCCCCCCCATCCCCCCCCCCCCCCCCCCCCGGTTGTCCAGGGTCACTGGCTAGGCCCATATGTATGCACACAAGTCCTTTGGTTGATCTCTTCCCCTTACCCACATCCCCCCTTATTTTCCCTCTGAGGTTTGAGAGTCTGATCACTGGTTCTCTTTCTCTGGGTCTGTTTGTGTTGTTCATTATTTCCTCTAGATGTGTGAGATCATGTAAGAACCTAAACTGCAACAAGCCATAATGATTATGCTGAGAGGCAAATGAAAATATACAAACATATTTACGACCAAAAGTTAATAAAGGGATATTTTCTTTAAATTTTATTTGGGATTCTTTTCCATTTTTTCCCCCCAAAATGATTTTCCCCTGGCTTGTTTTGTCACCATGTGTGCATTTTCATGGGTATCTTGCTATTAGCGTTTCGAATGAACGTTAATTTTCTAAAGCACAAATTTTTTAGATGTAAATTATTATCAGGATATATTTCCTTACATGATATTCTTCCACTGTCACCCCCTTTTTTACTTTAAATAATAGGAAACTTTTGGAAATTTTATACTGTAGTCTTGATAGCTTTTACATTTTAAGTAAGTTGCACTACACTATGACTACTTTAGATTCATAACATGTGCAATTTTACTGTGGCCACTCTGCCAATAAGAATTTTTGTTAACCCATTAGGAACAGCTTTTTGAACAGTACAATCAGGTTTTTTTTTTGGTTTTTTTTTTATTTAGAATATTCATTTATTTCCAATAGCCACATTACTTTCCTCTGAGAAATTGGCTACCATTCATCTGTCATACTCAACACTCAAGCATCAATCTCATTTACCATGTGTGTATTAGTGGAGTTGATTATTTCCCTTCTTGAGAAGGGCCTGGGCATTCCTGCTGCTAGGCTGGACTTGGATATTAAAAACCCACTTGCCCACACCATGGATATGAGACCTCTCAAATAAGTCTTGTTGCAGTGAGAGGGCAGCTGCTGTCAGCCAAGTCTCTGTCTGTTACCTGGGTCCCACTTTGAGCTGTGCATGGGAAGCGACGGAGACCTCCCTCAGAAGGGGAGAAGGTTCAGGCGCCTGCCGTGTTGCAGGGGGGGTTGGTAAGAGTCTGTGCCCCACCTCTGTTGACCCCCAAGTTCTCTCCTGATGGCCCCTCTGCGTCTGTGCCTGTCTTAGGTTGTTCCTTCCCTGTGGAATCTTACCCGTCTCTGGCTAACCAGCCATCCTCCGGGGCCAAGCAGGGTGATGTGATATTTGGTCTGTCTTCTTGGTAGCCTAGGCCCCCATGGGCTCCACACCCAGCACCTGCCTCAGGAACCCCTCACCTGCTGGTGGGGCCCAGGCATTGCTCTCATATTTTTGGGAACTTACGTTTCTTTTCCAGAGAGGGCCCAGCTCCCCACACTGGGCAGGCAAGAGATCCGTGGTACCAGCCACCATGCTGCTTCAGCCTTGGCATGAACTGAAAAGTCAGGCAACAATTGTGGGCACCTGGACCATAAGAAGAGGTTCGTTTTTGGCCAAAAGGCAAGATGGGCCACTATAGAATGCTCAGGTGCCTTCCCAGGGGGGGCCCTCTGCATAGTGGAAGAGATGAAGTCCTTTCATGTCGTTTTTAAATTGCTGCCAGACATTCAAAGGATTGGTTTGTATGTTTGTTTGGGGAAATTGTACAATGTGCTGTTGTAATTCTCAAATATCTAGAGCTGTGTTACCTTTGTCTCCAAGCACCAGCAAAAAAAAAAAAAAAAAAAAAAAAAAAAAAAAAAATATATATATATATATATATATATATATATATATATATATATAAAATAAAGTAAATGATTTTTTATTGATACCCCATGGTGTGAGGTACTATTATACTATTATAGGTAATGGGGATAACACAGATGTCGGAAAAATTATAGCGACCTTGTAGAATAATATCATGTAAGGATATTTTTTGCTCTAGGCCATGGAAATCCCATTTTAAACTGGCCGTCAATTTCTTTTTGTACCAACTCTTACTTCTTACTCAAGAAATTGCCCTGACTGGTTTGGCTCAGTGGATAGAGCGTTGGCCTGCAGACTCAAGGGTCCCGGGTTCAATTCCAGTCAAGGACATGTACCTTGGTTGCGGTCACATCCCCAAGTAGAGGGTGTGCAGGAAGCAGCTGATCGATGTTTCTAGCTCTCTATTCCTCTCCCTTCCTCTCTGTAAAAAAATCAATAAAAGATATTTTTTTTTAAAAAGAGAAGAAACAAACTGAGGAGGCCTCATCACTAACCCTTCCTGTTCTGGACTCTCTCCCTTCACGGGCTTCCAGTTCTTTTCTGTTATACTCCAGTGGTTCCAGACTAAAAGCTAAAGTTCTCTGAATGTTACAATATGTCGTCAAGAACACTGTGGTCTGTCCGTCTGTCTGACCTTGCTCTTGCTGATGTCCATCCTCATCTCCTAAAACTCCTTCCACCATCACCTTCATTTTCTGTTGACCAACAAAGAGCTCGTGGAGAATGTACATGTTAGGTTCTGTCGATGGGGACGCCAAAGGCTTGTGAACAGTGCCAGGGAATTCGTGAACTAGGGGGGTAAGATCCATCAATGGGTGCGGTGTCACTTCTCTTAAAGTGCAGGAAGCGCACAGCAGGGTGTTCTTGTGGTCCAGAAGGGTGGAAAGGAACAGAGAGGAGAGAAGAAAAAGATACGCCTGGGCTGTTCCACTCACGCTTTGAGAATAATGAGGGGATGGGAATTACCTACCAGTTACTCTCTTGCTTTTTTAAATAAAGAAAATAAATTGATCGAATTATATTACTACAGTAAGGAATACACTTATTCATAAGGTATGCTGTGCGTACTCCTGGTTTTTAACCCTTTTTCTTTTTCTTTTTCTTTAATGAAAGAGATTTAAACAACTTGGGTTGGGCTGAGGTTGGAGCGCTGAAGTCCATCTCCCACTGTGCACCGCACTTCTACCCCCTTCTTTGTTCCTCTCTGTGAATCTGTACAGAGAAAGCCAGCGGACAGAGAAGGAATGAATAAAGTGTACAAGCAAAAAGTACGAGAAGAAAAAGTAGCAAGTGTATTTTGAATAATTAGTTTTAAAGAATTTAAAATTCATATGGAGATTAAAAATGCTACCAGTGAAGAAAAGAAGGCGGAACAAAAGAATACTTCAAAAAGAATGGCATAGCACTTATCCCCGCAAGAGCTATTCTGTGTTTCTTTTAAAATAACATCTTCCTTCTCAGATTGCCCTTCGTGAGAGATAGTCACGCCACATGCCTCTGCTGCACGGTAAGGAGGCTGTGAGCACGTACTAGACTTGGGTCAGAATTTGCCTCAGTGTAAGGCACGGGGTTAGGCTAGCAAGACAGATGCTTCTTCAGATTACATGTGACGTGACAGTACGTTGTAAAAAAAAACACAAATTAAGCCCTAGATTAATATTTTTAAATAATACTTTGAATTCCTAAGTGCACTCTCCTGTGTAGGAGTAATGAAGATGGGGTACTGTTCACAGGAGGAGCGTGTGCTCCCTAGCACCTGTGTGACTGAGCTCACCTCCCTGCACCTGCATTACACGCACACGGCTCTTCCAGGGCTTGTCCCTGGCTCCTCAGCTGGACGCACAGAGCCTCACCCCTGCCGAGCCCTTCTTTTTAGCAGACGGTGTAAAAGACAGTGGCTTTCCCCTCCCGAGGGGGAGATTGTAGACTTAGGGTCACTAGAGACAGAGGCGTTGGAGTTTGACATAACTATAAATGAGGATTGACTCTTTGGAACTTTTAATACAAGGGTGTTCAAAGCTGCGGTATACCCCTGACCTAGCCCAGGGGGGGTGTCTGTTTACGATTATCAACCTGCGGGAGAGGAGCAGGGGCTGACATAGCCTATGACATAGGGAGGAAAAAGGGGGAAGTGGGGAAAGAGTAGATAAGTTTCTGAAGCAGGACTTTGAAGTAGCGTAAGGCAAAGGCATTCCAAACGGTGAGCTTTCGGGCACCAGGCCGGAAGGACTCTCCAGTTCCAACACGGAGTGCGTTGCCTTTTGTCTCCATAAACCCTGATCAGAGAGAGGCTTAACCCTTCAAACTGGAAACTGTGATGGCTTCCTGCTTCTGTGGTTGGTTAAAATAATAGACCTGGAACGATGTTAAATAACCTGAATTAGACACATGCTGTTTCTCGATTTGCCTTCGGGCTAAGTTGTTTGAGGATGTTGAACGAAATGGTCAGAGGGAGAAATAGGTGGTACTGAGAAATGGAGGCAATGAGGCTGGCAGTGTTGAAGACAGGGCTTTTGCTGGAGAAACCCAGTCTGCTTGACCCTTGTTGGTACCTCCTGGGACACAAAGATAAGGGCAAAACCCACCCCACCCAAGAACTGAGTTGCTAATGACTTCATTAACATGAACAGCAATCCTGTTTAGGACATGAATTGTGCATTAAACATGGGATTAATTAAACCATTAGCAACTCCGTGGGATTAATTAAGTCATTAGCAACTCTGTTCTTGTTTGCGGATTCAGGAGAATGAGTTGCCCCCAACTGCCTTCCCCCTGCTGGCCTGGTTGCCTCCTCTGCCGGCCTGGTCACTTCATTGCCCCCTCCCCCTGTCCCCACGCCAGCCTGGTCGCCCCACGCAGCCTGCTGGTCAGTCTTTTGGTCATCCCTCACTAACTCCCCTGCCAACCTGGTTGTCCCATACAGCCTGCTAGTCAGTTGTTTGTTCGTCCCTCACTGACACCCCTGCCAGTCCCATGCAGCCTGCTGTTCAGTTGTTACTCTGAGGGCATCGTGACCAATTTACATATTATCCTTTTATTAGTATAGACTAGAGGCCCGATGCACAAAAGTTCATGCAAGAATAGGCCTGCCTTCCTCTGGCATCCGGGATCTGGGTTTCCCTCGGGCCACCCGCAGGCACCAGGACCCAGGCTGGCTTCCCTTGAGCCTGGCTTTGTCAGGAAGGATGTCTGGAATGATGTCCAGAAGATGTCTGGTCTAATTAGCATATTACCCTTTTATTATTATAGATGCTTTTGACCAAAGCACACCCTTGTGTGTCTTCAACCAGTAGGAAAAAAGGAGAGTAAAGACCATGGGGGACTTTGCCTTGTCCATTGGCTAACTCCTAAGGAAGCTATTTTTACTAAGAGCTAGATAGCGGCTTCCCTCTTTTATAAAATTCATCAGAGTCACGTGTGACTCACTGTCCAGTGTCTCCTGGGGAAGGCCCGCATGAGGAATTCAGTCAGGTATCCTGTAACCAAACAAACCAAAACCTTACACTCTATTGAATTAAAAGCTTCCTGCTATATTAATGAGACTTACATACTGACCATGCTTTTCTTAGTAGCAGCTTATGAGAACAGGCATATTAAATAATAAGATTAATGAAATAGAAAATAAGTAGGAAATTGAAAAGGAGAAAAAAACTGGCACTCTCCAGATTAATAAGGGTTCTGTGATTAGCTGTCAGCTTTGATTCTACAATTTCTGGCATCCTGGGCAGAAACCCGTTTTAGAAAGCAGGGATGCAAATATGTCTTCTTCGTGATAAGACAAACTGTCAGTTTAATCAGAGCCAGGTGGGGGGGTGGAAGAATTACCGTGTTTAGTGCGTACACAGCATTCCCTTGCTGAAGAGCAGAAGTACAGCCGCAGCCAGGCGGCTCAGGAAGAAAAGCAGCACTGTTCCAACCTACGCCCTCGTGTTCTGCTGGCTCCGAGCTCAGGGGCCCTCTCCCTGCGACCCCGTGTGCAGGATTGGGCTCTGGCCTCTGGCACCAGCTCAGCTCCTGCCTGGCCTGCTGGGGCACACCTGAAGCACTTCTTAGGCCAAAGGACTTCCTGTCTTACCATCCTGTCTTGTGCACCAAAAAGGTTTCAGGTTTGATCCCTGGTGGGATGCATACAGGAGGCAGCTGGTCAATGTTTCTCTCTCTATCCCTTCTTCTCTCTCTAAAACACAATAAACATACCTAAAGTGAGGATTTCCAAAAAAGAGCAAAAATACACTTATTCCTCTAATTATGCCCTTTTTCATCAATATTACAATTACTTTTAAGCGTTTCACATCCAGAGTCTGGAGATTCTTAGGAGCCAACTTTGGCCTTTCCTATCAGAACTGTCAAGGCTCTGACATTCGTACCCTATTTGCAAGCTAACAAGTTATTCTGCCACAGGCTCAGGGTTCAGAGTCTCAGAAGCCTAAGACTTCATCCCTCACAATGCAGCCCGGCCTGGGCTCCATATTTCACTGGTCCCCCTAGCTCCTCCAGTCCCCCAAGTGATGCTCAGGGATCCAGGCAGGTTCTGGCCTTGCAGAAGCCACAGCTGCAGAGCCCCCAGCTTGGGAATCCCCAGGCTTCTAAAGCTGGTGCTGTCAGACCTGCCCACCCTCTGCCCTGGAAGGATGCATTCCTTTTGTTATCCCGGCCCACTGCTCCGGGAGACACTGGCTCTGTCTTCCAAGGCTGCATGCTCTAGTCTACTGACATCCTTGGGAAGATAGTCCTGAACAAAGCTGACATACATCATGAAGGTGTGTCATGGAGAAATGTCTCCCAGCAGCCATATGAAAGAACTGTTCATTAAAACAAAACAAACAAAAAAAGTTTATCATCTTTACCCCTTTAGCACTTTTAGAAGTAACTGTGCAAGTTTGACTCATGTGGTTGAATACCAGATTTTTTTTCTATATTCTGTATTGTTTGGCTTTTTTCTCCCCCCTTGAATTACATATCACCAGGCAGTAACAGAGAAGCTTATGATAGACAAATGCTTTATAGTTGGGTAAGCTTTAACAGTCTTAAAAGGCTTTGAAATTTTTCCTCTTCTAGGAGATGTGGTTTGGGCTCTATAACCTTAATCAATTAAGGCTACAACAAAATATAACCTGTTTTTGAAGGAATGTTAATTGGTATTAGTTACCGTATTTTTCGGACCATAAGACGCACCAGTTTTTAGAGAAGGGAAATGAAGAAAAAAAGATTCTGAAACAAATAGTGGCCTAAAATATTTTATGTGCATTAAAACCCAACATCACAGTCATAAACACATGTAATCAACCCTGTAAAGTAAACAGCAGCATTTAGAACCATTTTAGAACCGGGCAAGCACACAGAGACCACACAGAGCCGGGCAAGTAAAAAAACTTTTTTTTTTAAGTATATGTGTAGGCTATATTTGGACCATAAGACGCAGGGACTTTTTCCCCCCACTTCTGGGGGGAAAAAAGTGCGTCTTATGGTCCGAAAAATACGGTACTCCAAACTTGTTCCACTGCTACAGTCCTTAGTTCAAAGGTCCGCCTGAGGCGGGTTGACCTGTCCCCTTTCTCCAGGACTAAGCCCACCCATTCGCAGGGACTGAGCCCTGGCCTTGGGGCAGGCAGATATAATTTGCCAGTGATTGTTAGATGGATCCCAGTTTCAGAAATATTAAAATAAAAAATATGTGTGTGATATTAAGGAAATAAAGCAAATAAGTTTTAGCAATTAAACACAGACCTTCGGGCCTATTTTTCCCAGACTAATTCTGTCTATAAGTTTACCTTTCCAATTATTTTCTTTTAAAACATATTTTTATTTAACTTATTGGGGTGACATTGGTTAATAAAATTATATCGTTTTCAGGTGTACAGTTCTATGATACAACATCTGTATATTGCATTGTGAGTTTACCCAATCTAAAACCAAATCTCTTTCCATGTTTTGATTCATGCATTCCTCCAGTGCACAGTTGGCATTAATTCCTGATGACAAGAATCTTACAAAGTAAAAGGAGAAGGACATGTAAACAGTTTCCTTTGAAATGCGTTGTATTTATGATGCAAAATCAAACCACTTTGAGGTTAGATCATTACGCTTGTCCCAGAACTTACCTGGGAAATGAAGCATATCTTTAGAAATACTTAACGTATTTTTTTGTTTTGTTTTGTTTTGTTTTTTTGGTTTTTATGGCCTTCTAACTGTCCTTTGTAGAGTTGTGTATAATTCCTGCAAGGCCTGGTCCTAACGAGGGGTCCGCCCCTCTCTTGCAAGGTGGATGTCTAAGCTGTGGAATGCTGTCATCGCACCCAGAGTTCGAAAAGCAGTATTATCGAGAGCCTCTGTGAAAAGACAACCTGGCCTTGTGCAAACAGCTGCTCAGAAGCCCTTCAGCCGAGGACAGACACGGTGGTGAATGCTGCTCTCGGCATCTTGCTCAATGAAGCTGTTCTGCACGGCTGTCCCCTCCAGAGAGCAGGTATGTGGGTTCCTGCAGGGAGGAGAGGAGACTCACACTCTTAGGTAAAACTTGTTTACTTCCTGACTGGGGAGCTCTATTTTTCCTCCCTGTAAATGGAGAAATTACCTAAGCACTAACAAACATTTCACACCATTGCCCCAGAGCTGTCTCTCTGTCTTGTGATTATTGGCTCATGTTTAAATTGTAGACCTCCAAGTCAAGTTACTGGTTCACAGAATCCCTGCTTGGGTGTTAAGCAGGCCCATGATTTTGAAGATTCCCTTTCTTTGGGAACTTTGCTTGACTCTATGAAACTGCATTATCACTACCTTCCTTTTGGCAAAACATGATTTGTGTTGTTTCAGAGCTACGCCAACATGCAGTTGATTTCAAAGGAGGAGGTTTCCCTCTGTTCCTAGTTTCAAGTTACAACAGTTGTAGCAAGAAGAACGGAGAGAGAGGTGCCTGGAGAAAGGTGAGCGCCCGTCCTCACAAGAAGTCTGGCCGATTCTCTGCAGTCACCTGGCAGAAGCCAGTCCTGAGTGAGAAAGGTAAGAGAGGGCAGGCATTCCGTCAGAGGTACCAGGGCACTGGGGTCTAGTTTCTGAATGGAAATGCGTTTTTATTCTTTTATTCGCTGTGCATTCAACAAAATTCTGAGTATCTCAAAGCACATTTTCATAGAATAAAAAAGTATGTGGTAGGTACATTTTCAAAAATATTTTGGAGCCCATTCCTGAAAATAATTTTTCATACTAGAATTCTGATATTAAATTTATCTTTACTGTGTTAATGATCTTTTTTAAAATTAATTGATGTTTGTGGTATCCACACTTAAATTTTTATAATGCAATAACTGCACTTTGGCATATTTCTTTCCTTGTACGTGTCACCCCTAAACCAACCTTAACTTGTTATAAGTATGCGTGCAGACATATTTGATACCAGATAAGATCTTTATATGTGAACTAGAGGCTTGATGCATAAAAATTCATGCACTGAAGGGGGCTTCCTCAGCCCCACCTGCCCCCTTTCACAGTCCGGGAGCCCTCAGGGGCGGGAGGTGACCCAGCGATCAGGGGAGGGCAACACCCCCATCACACCTCTGCTGCTGCCACTGCCGGCAGTGCAAGCCTCAGCCGGTCCTGGTTATCTGAGCCTCGGGTGACTCCGGAGGCAGGCGCACAGAGTGGCCGGACCCTCCTGGGGGCAGAACTGGGCACTGCCATCTTGTGGCTGTGGATGCAGCCATCTTTGAGGGCATGGCAGTCAGTTAGCATATTCCCTCCTTATTGGCTGTGGGTGCCGCCATCTTTGTGAGGGTGTGATGGTCAATTAGCATATTATCTCTTTATTACATAGGGTTGATTTACATATTTATTTTTCATATATAATGTGTACCATTTGCCCAGTTCCATTCTAGTCAGTGAAATAGAATACAAAACATAGCAACAATCCCTGCCCTCATTGAGTTAACGTTCTAATGAATCATTAAACAGACTGTGTATAATGGGATGTCACATATAAAAAAGAAATGCCTAAGTTTTCATCTAACAAAGAAGAGATAACACATTTATCTCTGCTGTTAGACCTCTTTCTTTTGGTTTTGATGAGTTATTATACAAATTATAAATGTTCTCCCTAAAGAAAATTTATATTTGAAAAAGAATAAAAAGATGTTCCAACCTCATAGGCTTGGTGGGTGTCTGACACATGTAATTCAGTTTAGGTCTTGAGGAGCCACATGCAGCTATCCTGTTTGGTGTCATTATATTGCCAACTGTACAGTAGCAGGGTTGCTAAATAGGAGAATATGCTGCCTAAATTTTAAAACGTCCTGTTCACTAATATATTTTTATAGTTTAGCTTATATTTTGTTGATTTTTAAGAAAAAAATTTAATATGGTTTTAACTATAGTAATACATGCTAGAGTTTTATTATCCCAATTGTGTGTTAATGAATTGTGATTTTTTTTTTAAGGTGATTGGATAGGGATTAGAGAGCACTGAAAGGACTTATATGCATGAATGTTAGAATAACCAATGATAACCAATGGACACAGACACTGGGGCAGTGCCTGGGATGGGAATGGCTGGGGGGAGGGGGGGCGGCGGGGCGGTGGGAGGGGGAGACTTAGCTCTAGCTGGTTTGGGTCAATGGATAGACATCAGCCTGAGGACTGAAGGGTCCCAGGTTCGATTCCAGTCAAGGGCTCCATCCCATCCCCAATAGGGGAAATACAGGAGGCAGCCAATCAATTATTCTCATCATTGATGTTTCCCTCTCCCTCTTCCTCTCCTTCTCCTTCTCCTTCTCCCTCTCCTTCCCCTCCTCCTCCTCCTCCTCCTCCCTTCCTCTCTAAAATCAATAAAACATTTTTTTAAAGAAAAATATTTATGTAAAGTTTTAGACAATAAAAAAAAAGTGATTGGATAGAAAGTCACTGAATAAAATGAGACTTTTACTTACACTTTTTTGTTTTATGCATTGATAATAGGACACATTCTAATCCCAAGATCTTGTTACTTCCCAAAGAATGTTTCAGTCAGGGAATAAACTCATTAGATTTCAGTCCCCCAATATACCACAGAGATTCCCCAAGTAACTTTCTTATACCTTTTACTTGTTTATCCCAGTATAGCATAAAAAGGAGTTCTAAGATGAGGATTATTACCTCCATTTACAGATAACAAGGAGGTTCAGAAACCCTTGGCTGCCTGCTGAAAATCCCTCTCCTGGAGAGAGTTCTGTATCCATGCTTTTGTTTCTTGCCAGCGCAGTGCTGTTTTCTGACAGTCTAATCCTGTGGCACATGTAATAATCCATAGGCACCCAGATAAGTAAACAGCCATCCAGACTTCTTTTTTAAACAAACTTTTATTGATTTCAGAGAGGAAGAGAGAGAAGAGGGAAACATCAGTGATGAGAGGGAATCGTTGATTGGCTGCCTCCTGCACACCCCCTACTGGGGATCAAGCCTGCAACCTGGGGGGACAGAGGAAACATCTGTAATATGCTCCATAATAAAAAATTTTTTAAAAACTAATTTTACACAGTGAAATTCATGGGCCTTGAATTTTAACCACACATCATGATTAGATGAATGAACCAATCAATGACTTATCTTTGTTTATTGTATTTTTTATAACAAATTTCTTTGCCAATAATTGCACTTGATATAGGGTTGATTTGGGGTAGGGTTTTTTACATAATTGTTTGAAAACTTCTCAGGAGATAGATTCAGTTAAAAAAAAAAAAAAAAAAAAAGAATAAAAAGTATAGAAGTACAGACCATGATCTGTTTCTTCCAAATACAGAGCTCAAGATGCACAGGGACAAGGATTCATGCCATTGAAATAATTATATTTTACCTTGCAGGTATCAAAAACATGGCTAGATCACAGCTGAATTGTAACAGGAGTGCTTCTCTGTCAAAACAGAAGTAAGTTCCCCTTCCAGATTAACCCAGAGCAAACAATACACGCTCTCATTTTAGTTGTGGAACTATTATACTATTAATATAATTTTAAAGCAATTTGTTAAAAAGATTAGAAATAGTATTAGCTTCATTTTTATCAAACTTTGACATAAGATAAACTAAGAGTGGAATCATAAAAAAAAAGACATGTCTGGTCTTAAAAAACAATGTATCTCCCAAATTTTAAGCAGATTTTAGATGACTGATTTTTTTTTTTTTACAACTGTCCGTTGTCCCACCTTCCTCAGCAGATTTTTACCCCAAAGAACAAACACTGAGTTTTATCCCAAAAAGCAAACCATTTATAAATTAATAGTGTTTTATTCCCCCTAGAATTTATTTCTGTTTCTGAATAAAATGCATATGCTTGCTGTTCCTTCATTTGCCCATTTTAGGTAGTATCTGTGGTTGCTGTCATTGAAGATACAAATTTGGGAGGTACATTGTTTTTAAGACCAGACATGTCTTCTTTTTATGATCCCACTCTTAGTTTATGTTATCAGGATATTGTATATGTTTGTGGGTTGGAAATAATTTTCATTTGGAATTTTAGGCTGATTGCTCCATTTTCCTCCAGTTTCCATTTGATATCTAATTTTTTCATTGCTCCAATCCTCAGAAACCTGTTGGATTTTTTTAAATCTTTATTATTGAAAGTATTAGATATGTCCCCCAAGGTCAAATCTTCCCCTGTCACTTTATATTAGGAGCCCCTATCCTTTTCCCTCTGTCAACCACCACGCTGCTGTTCTTGTTCAGGAGTCTCAGTTTTACATCCCACCTGTGAGTGAAATCATATGGTTCTTAGCTTTTTCTAACTTACTTCACTTAGCATAATGTTCTCAAGGTCCATTCATGTTGTTGCAAATGGTGCTATTTCATCCTTTCTTATGCTGAGTAGTGATGTATATGGACCACATCCTCTTTATCCAGTCCTCTAGCTTGGGACACTTTGGTTGTCTCCATATATTGGCCACTGTGAATAATGCTGCAATGAACATAGGGCTGCATATATCTTTGCGAATACCTGATTTAAAGTTTTTCGGGTATATACCTAGGAAAGGATTGCTGGGTCATGTGGTAGCTCTATTAATTTTTTGAGGAATCACCATGCTGCTTTCCATAGTGGCTGTACTAGTCTACATTCCCACCAGCAGTGAATGAGGGTTCCCTTTTCTCCACAACCTCTCCAACACTTGCTATTGCTTGTCTTGTTGATAATGGCCACTCTAACAGGTGTGAGGTGGTATCTTATTGTAGGTTTTTTTTATTTCAGACAGGAAAGGAGAAGGGTGAGAGAGATAGAAACATCAATGATGAGCGAGAATTACTGATCAGCTGCTTCCTGCATGCCCCCTACTGGGGATCAAACCCTCAACCTGGGCAAGTGCCCTGAATGGGAATCAAAACGTGACCTCCTGGTTCATAGATTGATGCTCAACCACTGAGACACACCAGCTGGGCTATTTAATTGTAGTTTTGATTTGCATTTCCCTAATTGCCAGTGAGGTTGAACATCTCTTCCTATGTCTATTGGCTGTTTGTGTGTCTCCTGGGAGAAGTGTATTTTCAGGTCCTCTGCCTACTTTTGATTATGTTGTTTGTTTGGTATTGAGTTTTATGAGTTCTTTTTATATTTTAGAGATTAAACCTTTGTTAGAACCACTATTTACATACATCATCTCCCACTGATTTTTTTAATGCTAGATTTACAGAAACATAACATTTGCTTTCAGATGTTAAATGTTTACAGTGATAATATTATTTCCTTATTGCTCTTAGAGAATTGTTGATGATTGTGGCTTACAAATTTTGAGTAAAGAATGATTTGGTTAATCACATACTAGAAATGTTGGGCAGTTTGCAAATAGCTACTCGTTGTAGCCCAATAAACGGTGTGCCCTGTTGTTATCAGAGCAATGCGTGGATTGCCGTTCTCTGTTGCTAGCGGGAATAGAGCCCTTATCTCAAGAAAAAGAACTTTGGTTCTCACACAGGAGGACAAGTGTTCTTTATTTGTATAAGAGTTACGTCTTTTCCAAAGTCCCATTTCCTTAATCCAGTCCTGGAAAAGGTGCAGCTGGGGATTCAGTAGAGCTAGACGCAAAGCCAGTGTCCAGAGTTTCCGCTCCGTGGCGGAGCTGGGTCCATGGCTGCAGCCCATTAGTCCATTGTAGGGGTCCACATGGCCCTGAGCCACGTGGGTGAGTGCAGGAGCGTGAGAGTACCGCAAGCAAGGAAAAGCTTACAAACCAAGAGCAAGAGGGCAAACTCCTTTGTTTAGAAGATTAAATATCTTAAATCCTCTCAGCCTATGACCTGTTCCCAGGTGTGACTAACAAGCAAGTACTTCCCTAAGTCACCCAGACTTTCCCGGGCGCATGTGAAGCTGCAGCTTCCTGGCAAAGCTACTCAAGTGTCATTCCTGTAAAACTGGCCTTCCCTTGTTCCTTCTGTTCACTTATTACCAGTTAATTACAACGTTATAAAGACCCAACTGTTATATTTCATGAGTTGTAATCTCTAGGTCAAAAGTAGAATTGACTCTCTTATTTAACCTTGCTGAAAACGAACTGAAATATTTATGCCCTGGAAAAATAAGGTAAGGATGAAAATGTGTCAGGGACCCAGAATCAGAAAGAAGGCATTAATGGCACAAAGTGCAGCCTGTTTCTGCACGCTGATCCCTGCAGTGGACTGGACCCAAGTTCCTTGATAAATGCCTTCAGTTTGAGAGGGAGCATTACCTGCGCAGCTTCCACCGGAAGACTCAGAATGTTCTATTTCGTGAGTTGTAATCTCTAGGCCAAAGTAGAATTGACTCTCCTATTTAACTTTGCTGACAATGACCTGAAATACCTATGCCCTGGCAAAATAAGGTCACGATTAAAATGTTGCAGTTTTTATATCCTTTCGGTTTTTTGCCAAGTGGTTTTATTTTTTTTGAGGGCTCATTGGGTCATTTTTGTACTTAAGTAGACGCTCTTCCCTAAGGGAATGTTTCTCATTGCTGGGAACTCACATGAAGGCTTCAAGTCTGCTATGTGACCAGCACGGGACTTGAGGGTACATCCTGTAGTGCTCCTGTCCAGAGCTGAAAGGAGAGAAAGATAACACTTCTGCTTTTCCAGTAACTTTAGACTGTGCCTTGTGTGTTACAGGATCACTGTGAAAACACGGCTTGGTTAATAGTATGTTTTCCAGATTGCAGAGTGCAGGGATGGTGTAAGGAGATTGGATAGTCCAGGAAACAACTCTACATTTTCACCACCTGTGAATAATCTGAGAATGCCAGTGTCACAAAAGGTAAGTGTTCATGTGCCCCCAAAATCAGACAAACATAGAGCGCTTTGGAACTGACTTCCCAAACCTTCTTTCGATGCAAAAATCACGAAGTTATTTTTAAGCCACAGCTATGAAGTGAGAAATAGGATAGTGGTCAATATGTTAATTCGTTAAGCAAAGTTGTTAAAGCTTACTGTTTAGATAGTAACGTGAAAGAATGACCAGAGAAGTTGTTAAAGCTTACTGTTTAGATAGTAACGTGAAAGAATGACCAGAGAAGCATTACTTTTAATCCTCACCTGAGAACATGCTTTTTTGTTTGGTTGTTTTTTTTTTATTAATCCTCAGCCGAGGTTATTTTTCCATTCTTTTTTTTTTTTTTTTTTTAGGGAGAATGGAAGAGAGAGGGAAAGACAGAGAGAAACATTGAAGTGAGAGAAGCACATCAATAGTTGCCTCCTGCACAAGCCCTGCCCTGGGCCTGGGCTGAGCCTGCAACCCAGATACCCTTGTCCTTGTAGGGTTGTTTCCTGGACTATCAAGTCTCCTTAAAGCATCCCTGGAATCTGCTCTTGATCTGAATCAAACGTGGGACCTTTTGGTCCGCAGGCCAACACTGACTGTGTCCACTGAGCCAAACCAACTAGGGCGCATGTTTTTATTATTGATTTCAGAGAGAGAGAAATGGGAAGAGAGACATTTTAACATCGATGTGAGAGTGAAAGATCAGTTGCCGCCCAGACTGGGGACCAGACCAGCAACCCGGGTCTATGCCCTGACTGGAAATCGAACCCCTGACCTTTCGGCGTATGGGAGAACAGGCCACCCAACTGAGCCACACTGGCCAGGGCCGCAGTACTTTTTGTTAACTTCTGTTTGATACCTAAAATCATATTCCAAAATGGGGGGAGACTTTTGAGAAGGTCTTCATTTGTTTTCATTTGGGTTGCTTCATTTTAAAATGTATTGTTTTTCTTTTCACTTGAGAACTTTTATGATTTAACATTTTAGAATTTTGAAGTTATTTCAGCAAAGGGCTGAGCGATTAATATAAAGATATTTTATATGTCTTAAAAAAATCTAATTTTTAGCTTAGTTTCTTAACTTGCCCGAACTTGCATTGTGTTTCATTGAAGAGACTTTCCTTTAAAAACAAGTCAGAATGTGACATAGAAGAGCCAGGATTCCAAAAGACTTCGTCATCAAACTCTCTAAATAACTTCCACAATCGGTTAATAAATTCCAAGAGGCAGGCCAGCATGGTACTCCTGGGTGAACAGAAACAATAAACTACTGCTTAGCCAGGAGCTGTTTTGTGAGGGCTGCGCAGGTCTTGCAGAGGCATTCAGTACTGTGTGGCTCACACCCTGTTCTCATCCACCCCCGGTGGCTTCCAGAGGCCTGTCGGGGGAGTGCAGAGCGCGGGTGTATAGAGTGAGGGCGGTGAGACTGTCCCATTAGGAATCCTTCTCTGATTGCCTGGCAGCCTGGGCCCCTGTTCTCCTGCTTCACTAGGCTTCGTCCTGATGAGTTATATGTGCAGCTATGTGAGCTGTGTGTGCTGGGAGAAGCGGTGGGCGCCAGGAGGTATTGGCAAGGCTGAGTCCCACACAAAAATGCATAACACGATGACCTGTAAAGACAAACACGTCCTTCCCGGCTCACCTCATCATCTGTCTGCCTTTTTCTTTGTCTTCACTTGGGAACAGTTTGGAAGCACGGCCAAAGCTTGATTTGGAGAGCATGTAGGGAGGGTGATCTGAGGAGGTGGCCAGAGGCACTGCTGAGAATTCCAGCTGGAAATGTGTTGTTCAGGAGCTGTCCCCGAGCTCTGGCTGAGAGCACTTTTCCGGGTGGTCCAGGCCCCCTCTTTAGGATTCCTTGGAGCCACGCAGGTCTAGGAAGAGGAGCAAGGAGTTGCTGTTTCTCCACAGGCCTGGTCACTTTCCATATAAGCATGTCGACTGGTAGTGACCGGCGGCCTTTGTTTACGTGTCTAATGCAGACTCCGTTTTGTGCCTCTGCCTCTGTCACATGACCCTGTTCAGATGCTGTAAGGTACTCTCCATAAAAAATGGTACTGCCAGTGGGATAAGTCCTGGGCAGCACAGGACAGCTTTGTTTTAAAAGCGGTATGTTTGAAAGGGCATTAGGGCAGTGACCCACAGACCACATTTGGAGGGACTTCCCCCATGGCTGGAACATGTGCTTCTCAGAACCTGCCAGCAGAGGGCAGAGTAGCACTCGGCACTCTCTGACAGCTTGGCAGGCTCACTCCCTTTGTATCCTCAGCTGGCACTTCTTGGTTAGAGGCCCAGTTACTTCTGTTATCGGAAAGCAATTCCCTTCAGGAGAGCTCTCTGGCTTGCTTGCCATCATTTCAGTGTATAATGGTGGCCACACAGTAGAAAGACATGAATGAGTGAATCACCCTCCTACTGCTCATCTGATATAACTCATTACTGCTCCAACAGAGAGCATGGTGGGCTGCGTTAGTTGTGTGGCATGTTGGCTACCCTTCTTACAGAGATTTAAATCATCAATAGAACGAGCATATGTTAACAATTACTTTCTCCTGAAAATGCAAATAAATCCCCCTAAAGCAAAAGTTCTTACAGCGGCTTCCTAAGGAAATCCACTTGCTATGCTTTTAACCCCCAGTGCCCACCGGGTTCCCTAAGGTTCTGATATAATTGGTGTGAGGTACGACCTGGACCTGGATTTATTCAAGCTCCCTGGTGACTCTTACATGCGGCTGGGGCTTGGTTAGATCCATGGCTCTAAAGCAAAGCTCTAATCTGTTATCCTATTTCCCACTCCATTCCTTTCCTCCCAAGCGCACCTTTAGAAAGGTCGCTATGCCTTCATGACTTACTTCTACCTGTAATTTACTCTCCCCACACCTACACTTCTCCATGTCTGCTTACCCTTCTTCCCAGGGAACTCGTTCCCTTCACCTGGCACAGCCCTGTGTATCCTCGAAGCATCATCGCCAATGCCCTTTGCCCTACAGCATTTTCCTTTACTTCCTGCCCCCAACTTTCCCCTCCAGACAGCAGCAATTATAGCATCCTTGTGCCTTCAGCAGATGCTCAGAATTGAATGAATGATTTAACAGTATTTCACTAAGGCTCTTTATGGACAGTGCCTTTCTAGTGAGCATTGACAGAAACTTTATACATTTCACACAGAGAACTCGGGTTTTAGTGCAGGAAGCATTAAACACCCTTAACTTTCCTAGTCCTGGGCTCTGGCTCTTCTTAGCTCTGGGGAAAACACCTCAAGACCCGTGCTCGGCTGCCGGAGTGGTAGGAGCACGGCTCTGGGTTCTGGTCTTACACGCTCAGCTTGAACGGACTCATTAGCCTCCCTAAGCCAGGGGTTCTTCGCGCTCTCCTCACACCTCCTCCTGTTCAGTCCTCACACCTCCAAGGACTGACGCAGACCCGCATTCCTGTGCCCGGCTTCACCCAAACCGCATTTCCAGTTGTGGGTGCTTCTTGGTACCTCATTTCACGGGGTCATTTCCTGCCTCAGACCATAAAGGTGCACGCCCACTCTTACCCCCCTCGCGTCCCACCCCCACCTCATGATGCAGATGAAGAGGACACAAGGACACACTGTGTGCCTGCCCTCTCCCTGGGCCCTGGCACCACCTCTGGACTTCCAGAGGGAGGTCAAAGATTGCAGCAAAATTATCTATAGTTACACCCACGACTCTTCCTTATGGGCTCTGTATACAAACCAACCGCTATCTAGCCGTATTATAACATGCCCTGTCTTCTGAATGCTCTCTGTGCTGAATTTGCTGGTGTTTTAGACCAACTTACAAATTGGGATGAGCCTTACAAGGCCCACAACTAAGTCACATTTTACAGATTTCAGAAGACACGCAGGAGAACCCAACTCCAGCTCAGGCCCACCTGTTCCTTTCCATTAAGTATTTTACCTGGTAAATCTTTTAAAGATGGCCTTGCTGTTTGGTTGTGTTATTGCTTTTACACTTAAAACCAGGGAAAGTAATCAGTGTCAGCTGCTTCAGGGGGCGTTGGGGCGGCTCACCTAGCAGCTCCCTGCAGGCTGGCTGGCTGGCAGACTGCACACACCGCAGGGCAGACACCCTGGGGGAACGTTAGGCGCCCGAGGCCTTGTCCCAGCGCCATCCCTCTGTGGCCGTGGACAGGCAGTCTTACCTTTCCAGCTCTCCGTTCCCTCCTGGGCAAACAGTGATGTGGACCATGGCCCATACCCATGAGGGTTCTGCAACAGACACTGGAAAGACGAGGGCAAGCCTGGGAGGTCTGGAGGCACCGAGTCGTGGGGTTGCTGCCAGAGCGGAAATCACGATGTCCCCTCCGTTAGGGCAAGGCCATTTCTCTCTGTGATCGCTGCCTAAGTGCCCAGCGCCGAGTCCAGTGCTCATTTGACAGTGAAATGCTCAAAAAACATGTGCTGATTAGTGAGTAGCAGGCAGGCTTTAGTTCACAGATCTGAAAGCAGAGAAGTTAGGCGACACCCTCAGAAGACAGAGGTGATTGGTAGGGCCGCATATCCATAGTGGGTCCCAGTTGATCGTTTCTCTGAAGTTCCTGCTGGTGGGGAGATCCCAGACTCCAGCACTTGACCCCCTGACTCCTGTATCTCTGTGACAGCACAAAGGACCTAATGGAAATCTGTAGGAAGTTAATCCTTCAGCTTCTGTCTATTGTCTTTCCTTTTTTTCTTTTTTTCTTTTTTATTAATATATTTTTATTGATTTTTTACAGAGAGGAAGGGAGAGAGATAGAAACGTCAATGAGAGAGAAACACCAACCAGCTGCCTCTTGCACACCCCCTCCCGGGGATGTGCCCGCAACCAACATACATGCCCCTGACCAGAATTGGACCTGGGACCTTTCAGTCCGCAGACCGACGCTCTACCACTGAGCCAAACTGGTTTCGGCTGTCTTTCCTTTTTTTCATGACAACTTTATGAAGGGAGAAGCTCCTTCCTGGGCCCTCAGAGAAAGAGGGGAGAGAAAGTGTTCCGGCTGATAAGAAAAGTTGGTGACAGTGTCAAATGTGACAAATTTCTCTTGTTTCTTTTCTCTGACAGGAGGTCAGTCCTCTCAGCAGCCATCAAACCATTGAATGCAGCAACAGTAAATCAGAGACTGAGTTGGGTGTTTTAAGAGTTAAATCTTTCCTTCTTGTTCCTAGAAGTAACGTTACACAGTGTTCCCAGAACACCAAAAGAAGCAGCAGCAGCAGTAATACAAGGCAAATAGAAATACACAACAACTCAAAAAACAAGATTCGGAACTTACACACAAAATGAACACACAGAAAAACCTAACAAATAGGCCTGCCTACAATATTCTCACTCTTCTGTAAATTTCAAACAGAAACCAAGGACAACAAGATGTAAATACCTTTAAATGAATAAAATATTTTCACTATTATATTAAGCATCAGTGCAGGACCACTATTCAATTTTTTGTAAAGAATGTATTTATAACCAATATTTTGTTGCTTTTTTTTTCATTTCTGTAAAATTGAACTTCAATATCAAGAAGCAATGCCAACTTTCCAAGTAGTTTTATAATAGAATTATTGTAATAGTTTTAACCAACATGTTCAGGGAGTATTAAAACAAAACTGTGTGTACTGTATACCTGTATATGTACATATAAATATGTATATATAAATGTGTATATATAAATATGTATATATTTAAGAAAGTCAAGGAATCATATTGCATCCTAAAAGTCACAAAATGTGTACAGTGTTGGCTTCGATAAAGTACCATTTTAAATGGAGATCATAATTTTATGTTCAGTTGATAAGGAATAACTTAGAATGAGGCAATAACTATCATTTCTAAGCAATTACTTTCCATTAAAAGCCATATTACTAAGTATTTTGCCTGTTAATTCTAGTTTTATGTTTTAAATCTTTTAATAGTTACATTGCTGATTGGTTTATCTTGTATATTTATGCTTATGGGTTTGCATTATGATTGTAAAATACAAAATTATATAATGCAATAAAATGTTATTATTTCTTATAAAAGTTTTGTACCTAAGTGGATATGAAAAAGATTACATAAGTGCTTCAATAAATTAATCCAAGAGTTAACTCCCTTTTCAATTTAATTCTAGTAGCATAACTGATACTTTTTAGAACTATTTCTTCTAAAATTACTCTTATACAAATCAACGTTAAGATGCTTTGACATCAATTAAAATATTCAATTAGAGCCTGGCCAGCATGGCTCAATAGTTGAACATTTATAAGCCAAGAGGTCATGGTTCTGTTCTGGTCAGGGCACATGCCTGGGTTTTGTGCTCAATCCCCAGTGTGGAACATGCAAGAGGCAGCTGATCAATGAGTCTCTCTGACTCTTGATGTTTCTCTCTCTCTCTCTCTCTCTCTCTCTCCCTCTTCTTTCCTCTCTAAAATAAAAACATTTTTAAAATTTTTCAAAAATACTGAATTAGTGAAATAGTTTTGCTTTAGTTTCTATCTATAGCTCATAATAATTTGTCCCTACAATAGGGACAACTTAGGGACATTCATGAAATGTGTTCTACATGTTGGTATTTCACTAGCTGTTCACAGGAAGGCCCACCCATATTAGTTGGTTTAAATAAAAATAAACATTTAAATAGAGCTCTAGAAATAAGGTGCTCACTGAACAAACCACCTTCCTTTTTCTTTCTTAGGTACCCTCCAAAAAGTATGATTTAATACTAAGATTCATTTACTTGTCAATAAGAGTACTGAAAGCCTTTTCTTGGTCAGATTTACATTGAAGTACACACATGTGCATTGATACTATATTAAACTCTAAAGGAATGTCTGCAAGCATCTTTAAAAAGTCAAAATGTGTAGTCAAGATTATGCCATACATAAGGGGCGAAGTGGAAGGAAGTCTATCAGGGAAGAACTCAATTCTAACAATGTCAGCACTTTGCCGGGGTTTTATCTCTGCAAGGAGAATCCTGGAGTGTACAGCTCGAACCGCATGTATAGAGAAGTGTGCAGTGAGATGGGGTGGAGGTGTGGGGAGTGGGGGTGCGGAGTGGCTAGAGCAAGGGACAAGGTGGATGGACAGAAGAGTCTGGAAGGAAATAGGCTTAATGATTAGGCACTGTGTTTTATATTAGCATCTTTTCTGCAGATAAAGTTCCTATTAAAAAATTATGCCTAAAAATCCATACCATTTTTTAACACCAACGGTAAACTCTCAGAAAGAGAAACTAAAGAAAACCCCTATTTACCATTGCAATAAAAAAAAAAAAATAAGATACTAGGAATAAAGATAATGAGGTAAAAAAAATAAAATAAAGGAAGATAAAGTGGAAGAATATAACATGTTCATGAATTGGTAACATCAACATTAAAATGTTCATATTGCCCAAAGCAATCTACAGATTCAATGCAATCCCTATTAAAATATCAATGGCATATTTCACAGACCTAGAACAAACACACTCAAAATGTATGGAACCAAAAAAGACCCTGAATAGCTGCAGCAATCTTGAGAAAGAACAAAGTTGGAGGAATCATAATACCAGATATCAAGTTATACTACAAAGCCACTGTGCTCAAAATAGCCTGGTACTGGTGCAAGAACAGGAATACAGACCAATAGAATAGAAATTGACCCAAGCCACTTCACTCAATGAATGTTTGACAAAGAAGGCAAGAGAATACATTGGAGCAGAGACAGTCTCTTCAATAAATGGTGTTGGGGAAATTGGACAGGTACATGCAAGAAAATGAACTAGACCCGTGGTCAACAAACTGCAGCTCACGAGCCACATGCAGTTCTTTGGCCCCTTGAGTGGCTCTTCCACAAAATACCACGGCCTGGGCGAGTCTATTTTGAAGAAGTGGCGTTAGGAGAAGTTTAAGTTTTAAAAATTTGGCTCTCAAAAGAAATTTCAATACTTGTACTGTTGATATTTGGCTCTGTTGACTAATGAGTTTGCTGACTACTGAACTAGACCACCAACTTACGCCATACACAAGAATAAACTCAAAATGGATAAAGGACTTAAATGTAATATGTGAAACCATAAAAGTCCTAGAAGAAGTCATAGGCACCAAAATCTCAGACATCTCTCGTAGCAATATGTTTACAGATATATCTAGGACAGTAGTCAGCAAACTCATTAGTCAACAGAGTGGCAAACGCGGCTTGCGAGCCGCATGTGGCTCATGAGTCGCAGTTTGTCGGCCACTGTCCTAGGACAATGGAAACTAAGGAGAAAATTAGCAAATGGGACTACTTGAAAATAAAAAGCTGCACAGCAAAAAAAGCCATCAACAAAATAACAGGAGAGCCCACTACATGGAAGAACATATTTGCCAATGATACATCTGATAAAGGTTAATCTCCAAAATATGTAAGGAACTCATACAACTTAACAAAAGGAAGATAATCCAATTTTAAAATGCTCAAAGGACCTAAATAGGCACTTCTCTAAAGTGGGCACAGATGGCCAGGAGACATGAAAAAATGCTCAAAGTCACTAATCATCTGAGAGATGCAAATCAAAACAAGGAGAATTCATCTCACACCTGTCAGAATGGCTGTCATCAACAAGCAACAATTGTTGACAAAGTTGTGGAGAAAGGGACACCCTAATACAGTGTTGGTGGGAATACAGACTGTGGAAAACAATTTCCTCAAAAAATTAAAAATGGTACTTTCATTTGACCCAATGATCCCACTTCAAGGAATATATCCTAAGAAACCTGAAATGCTCATTAGAAAGAATATAAGCACCCCTATGTTCATAACAGTGCAATTTATAATAGCTAAGATTTGGAAACAGCTTAAGTGCCCATCAGCAGATGAGTGGATAAAAACCATATGGTAAATTTACACAATGGAATACTACACAGCAATAAAAAAAGAAAGAACTCTTACCATTTGCAAAAGCTTGGGTGGACCTGGAGAGTATTACCATATGCTGAGTGAAATAAGCTAATCAGAGAAAGATAAGTATCAGATTATCTCACTCATGTGGAAATAATGAACCAAATAAACTGATAATCAAAAATAGACCCAGATGGGGCCTGGATGAGGCTGGTTGTCCTATTTGGAAATGTCTTTTGTGTGAAGTGTATCATTGGGCATGTGGAGGTATTATTGATATGAGAAAATGCTAAGTAACAGATTTGCTATCTGAAAAGGGATTTACTATCGGGGAAAGGGAGGGAGGAAGAGACTGAACATAAACTGTGCACCAATGGATGAGGATGAGGGGGCAGAGGGTGGGGTGGGAACCTGGTGGAGGGGGGAAGAAACGAGGAACCTGTGTAATAATATGAACAATAAAGATTGATTAAAAAAAAAAATAGACCCAGAGACCTAGAAGCATGAACAGATTGTTGAACCTCAGAGGGAAGGGAGAGGAAGGTGAGTGGGAAGAGATCAACCAATGAACTTATATGCATATCTGCATAACCTGTGGACACAGACCATGGGTGGTGAGAGCCTGGGGGGTGGGAGGCAGGGGGGAGGGGGTTGGAAGTGGTTAATGAAGGAAAAAGGAGGACCTATGTAATATAATACTTTCAACAATAAATACTTTTTTAAATAATAAAAAAAAAATTTAAGTTCCTATTAGTGTACTAAGAACCAGAGAAGAGAAAACAAAACTAAATGGAACATATTCTTCAGAAGACCTGCAGTAGCTGATCCACGCAGCTGTGATTTGTCAGTAAAATTTACTATACGCACTTTCCATAATGGGATGGCAGACTGCAAGATGTCTAAAGAACACATTTATATCAAGAGCTTTCAAAAGATCAGTGAGACCTACTAATGGGTCATTGTATGAATTTAGTCACAATGAGCAGGTTCTTTAAAAAAGAATCAGAGTGGCCGAAACAGGTTTGGCTCAGTGGATAGAGCAGTTAGCCTGAGAACTGAAAGGTCCCAGGTTTGATTCCGGTCAAGGGCATGTACCTTGGTTGCGGGCACATCCCCAGTAGGGGTTGTGTAAGAGGCAGCTGATAGATGTCTCTAATTGATGTTTCTAACTATCCCTCTCTCTTTCTCTCTGTAAAAAATCAATAAAATATATATTAAAAAAAAAAAAGAGTCAAAGTACAACACAATGTCATTGTCAATAAAAATTAGGAACTTTGTGAAGTTTTGTTTCCATCATCTAAATCACATGTGTCAAACACAAGGCCCGCGGGCCAAATCCGTCCCGCCAGGCCTTGCAATGTGGCCCGCACCGCGCTGTCATCACTGCACTCCGCTGCGTTTCCATCACAATGACAGTTTATGACTGTTCAGTAAACCATTCAGCCCGCGATTTATGTTACGAAGCGAGTCCCCAAGAGATGGACCACTGGAGCCAATTTGATTAAGCATGCTAGAATTTATTACAGATTCGAATCTGGACTCAAACCATGGCTGACGCAGCAGCCAG